AAAATGAAGAGAAAGCTTACAAGTTGCTTGATTTTGATTTTCTTGGTGGCTCTGTGCTTGCTGATATTGTTGCCCCTTATGTGTATGCTTGCTGGCAGATCCGTTGGAAGGTTAGGAATGAGGAGGTCCGCTCTGATGAGCGCGAGGCCGATGGCAGTGATGCTATCGATGGTATGAGTAACTTATCTATTTATCTATCAGTGATGTCACGTCTGCTGTTCCTTACAACCATTAGCTCTGCTGCTCGTCTGCCCACAGCACCTTACAGCGTGGGTGGCGTTGCACGCCGCACCCGCCCGACCACTGCCCTGCTGCCACCCCCGCCGCGTGCGCCGCCTGTGGCGCGAGGGTGCAGTGGGCCCCATGTAACAACCCCTGAGAGGTCAAGCCCTTGCTACCATGGGGCGCCGGCAGGCGGGCGGGGGCGCGGGAACCACGCTACCACTGCTGCAGGCGGCGCGGTGCAGCCAAAACCTGCGCCACGCCTGTGCCACGGAGCGGCCCCAGGGCCCACGGCCAGACAAGTCTCTTGGGTGTGCGGTATGCGCCCTCATCGCTCTGTTTTTCTGCCTTCAGAATTTTGTATTGTATTGTCATTGTCACGGGCTTGTGGCTGTTGATTTGTACTCCGCTGCTGCTGCTGCTGCTGCTGCTGCTGCTGCTGCTGCTGCTGCTGCTGCTGCTGCTGCTGCTGCTGCTGCTGCTGCTGCTGCTCTTTTGATGCTGCTGCTACCGCACGTCCAGAGCTTCTGGACATGGATTGTTACAAGATCCCGCGGTCGCCCGCTCCTGAAGCCATCCAGGCTCATGGGATGTGACTTTGTGGCATCAGCGTTGTGTGACTGGGCGGGATTCAGGTGGCCGCCCTGTGCCGTTCAAAGCATGCGTGTACACAGGCCCCAAGTGTGTGCTGGTCTGCACTGCGCACAAAGGCGTTCAGGCGGGCGTGTGCAGGCAGGTTCGCGAACAAGGGTGCAAAGCGCGGCGCGGCGTGCAGGTCCACGTATATATGCCGGGCAGTTCAGCAAAGCATGTTCAGTCGTTTGCGCTTCTGTAACAACAGCCAGCAGCAGGGCCGAGCGACGCTGGACCACGGCGCCCATCCAAAGCTTCGTTGCATGTTCGACTTGCATGCCCTTCAGGATTACAGGGGGTCGACCATCCCCAAACGCCGTCCCACCTCCTCCAGCCGCACCCGCTGCATCGCGAGCCAGTCAGGTAGGTGGGGGCGCCTCACGTGCAGCCACTGTCAGCTGCCCGCTGGCTACCCGAGGCGCCGCTTGTTTGCAGCCACGAGCCACTTGGGTGGCATGTCATCGCACGCTCCAGGCAGCAGAGTACCCAATGCAGCCGCCGGCGGTCGTTCATGAAGGGAATAGCGGCAGTCTGGCACGAACACCTGATGCATCACCTCCCGCAGGTACCTATTGCGCTGCTCGAGGCGCCGCCAGTATGCATATGGAGCAATTCCCCCCATTCAAGGACGCCGCCGGCTTGCTGGCTGCTCCCCTGCTGGCGGTGTTGCTGCATATCGGCTCCCTGGCATTGCTCTTCCAGTCTCGTCGGCGGTGGCCATTCGTTGCTGCTGCTGCTGCTGCTGCTGCTGCTGCTGCTGCTGCTGCTGCTGCTGCTGCTGCTGCTGCTGCTGCTCCCGCTGCTCCCGCTGCTCCCGCTGCTCCCGCTGCTCCCGCTGCTCCCGCTGCTCCCGCTGCTGCCCATGCACCCGCCAATTGCCGTTGCGAAGCCTGGCACGCGGCCGCATCAGCCCCTGTCCCTGTCACACAATGCTGATACCTACCCCCGCTTGCCACAGCAGCGTGTGCAGCACCGGTGTCGCCCTATCTCCTGGGCTGCCGCCTGCCCCACCAGCGGCCGCAGCTTCGGCGCCAACAAGGGTGCCAGGCCACCGAATACTGACGCCGTGCTCCTGGAGCCACGCTGCTGGCGCCTGGCCGACGACGAGGTATTCTGCCTGGGCCAGCACGCAGCCCTGGCGCAGGCCAGCTGCAAACTCCGCTGCCTGGGACACACAGCCATTCACAAGCGCCGGCGCGTGCATGCCGGCAGTCCGCAGCAGCCGCGCGATGCGCACGAACCCGGCCGGCATGCCGAGGCGCTCCATCTCGGCAAGAAGAAAACCGCAGTGGAGCGTGTCGTTGTGCGTTGGCTCTGAGAAAGTCCAGGAAGGAGAGGATCGCCGCCTGCTGCTCTGCGGCTAGGGCGTGTGAGAGCAGCTGGAGGAGCAAGACTAAATCGCCGGTGCACTGGTCTTGAAAGGAAGGCGGTCTGGTGTAGGCGGGGTGATGAGTTTTGTAGACAGGGGAGGAGGCGGTCATACAGCACGCGCGCCAGGATGCGATGGTTGTCACGCACAGTGGGAGCCCCTGCGCCGTTACCGCCCAAGGCCCCCTCGCAGCGGAAGCTGCCAGGGTGCAAGTGCCCCTTCGCCCAGGCTTGCCCTGCTTTTGACCCAGCCGCGCGCCTGCGCGGCTGGTCTTGGCTTCGACACCTTTCTGCTCATCAAGGAGTAACGGTTTCGTCCTATCGCTGTTCAGCAGCGTCGCCACCAAGGCCAGGCACACAGTTGGGTTGGGCAAGGATTGGTTCAGCCAGCCAAGCCAGCAAGCCGCACGGAGTCGCATAGGATTACACTGTGGACAGCGCATCGCGCAAGCTTAGCCAGCGCGCACTTCAAGCAAGTGCACGCCAGCACCGATCCACACGTCAGCGGCTGACCCCAGCACACGTCACCCCGCCGGTGACCTGCATGACACCTGCAACCGCCAACCCAGCCGGTCCGCGGCACACGCGCACGCTCTACAGCCCTTGCCGGGCGCCCACTGCCCAGGGGCGCCAGCCCAGGGGCGCGACATGGTCAGCGTTGAGCAGCAGGGTCAGTGGGCGGTGATTAGCCGCATCTGTCTTGTCGCCCTTCTTGCAAGGATTAGGATTAGGATTGTTACAAGATCCCGC